GATCCTGAGCTCCCCGCTGTCTCCTGCCTTCCCACCTGCTCTATTCACCTGGGACTGCTCTGCCCTGGACCCCTGAGCTCCCCCTGCTCCTCCAGCCTCCACCTTGCTTCATTCACCTGGGACTGCTCTGACCTGGTCCCTGAGCTCCCCCTGCTCCTCCAGCCTTCACCTGCTCTATTACCTGGGACTGCTCTGCCCTGCTCCCCTGAGCTCCGGGAGCTGCGCCCTGCTCCTCCAGCCTTCCACCTGCTCTATTCACCTGGACTGCTCTGCCCTGCTCCCCTAGGCTCCCGGGAGCTGCCCCTGCTCCTCCAGCCCTCCACTTGCTCTATCTCACCTGGACTTGCTCGACTGGTCCCCTGAGCTTCCCGGGAGCGTGCCCCTGCTCCTCCAACCTCCCACCTGCTCTATTGACTGGACTGCTCTGCCCTGGTCCCCTGAACTCCTGGGAGGCTGCGCCCTGCTCCTCCAACCTCCACCTGCTCTGTTGAGCTGGGACTCCTCTGGCCTGGTCCCCTGAGCTCCCGGGAGCTGCCCTGCTCCTCCAACCTCCTCCCACCTGCTCTATTCACCTGGATAGCTCTGCCCTGGATCCCTGAGCTCCCCCCTGCTCCTCCAGCCTCCCACCTGCCTCTATTCACCTGGGACTGCTCGTGCCCTGGTCCCCTGAGCTCCCGGGAGCTGTCCCTGCTCTCCTGCTTTCCACCTGCTCTGTTTACCTGGGACTGCTCTGCTCTGGTCCCCTGAGCTCCCTGGAGGCTTCCCTTGCTCTCCAGGCTCCCACCTGCTCTATTCACCTGGGACTGCTCTGTCCTGGTCCCCTGAGCTCCCGGGAGCTGCTCCCGCTCCTCCCTGCCTCCCAGCTGCTGTATTCACCTGGGACTGCTCTGCCCTAGTCCCTGGAGCTCCCGGGAGCTGGCCCCCCACTCCTCCAGCCTCCCACCTGCTCTGTTTAACTGGGACAGCTCTGCCTTGGTCCCCTGAGCGTTCTGGGAGGTGCCCCTGCTCCCTAGCCTCCCACCTGCTCTATCACCTGGGACAGCTCTGCCTTGGTCCCTGAGCTCCCTGGAGCTGCCCCTGCTCCTCCTGCCTCCACTTGCTCTGTTGAGCTGGACTGCTCTGCCCTGCTTCCCTTTAGCCCTGGGCTGTCCCCCTGCTCCTCCTGCCTCCCACCTGCTCTTGTTGAGCTAGGACTGCTCTGCCCTGGTCCCTGAGTTCCCAGGACCTGCCACCTGCTCCGCCAGCCTCTACCTGCTCCGTTTACCTGGGGACTGCTCTGCCGGTGTTCCTGAGAATCCCAGGAACTACCCCCTGCCTCCTCCCGCCTCTCACCTGCTCTGTTGAGCTCAGACTTCCTTCCCTGCTGCCTGATGCCCCGGGGGCTGTGCCCTTCCTTCCTCCTGCCTCCCCCTGCTCTGTTTAGCTTGAACCTACTCCTACCCTGGTCCTCTGAGCTCCGTGGCAGCTGCCTCCTTCTCCTTGTGCCATCCATGCTGTTTACTGGGGACTGCTCTGGCCCTGGTCCCCTGGAGCTTCAGCAATGCCCAGTTCCTCTGTGGTTCCCAAACAGCCTCTGCGCAACTTGGCCTCCAAGTCATGGCCTCGTTCTTTTCCTGCTTTACTTGCTCGCTGACGCCCACAGGCAGCTCTCTCTGCAGCCAGCGTTCCCGAGCAGAGCCCTTTGCCCCTGCCCTGGTTCCTTCCCAGGCTTCCTGGTCCCTGGTCTCACCCTCCTCTGCCACCCAGCTCTGGAACCTCTTACTGGAGTCTTGCTCCTCCTATCGATCCTGCTGGCTCTCGCGTTGGTCAGGTGCCCCGCCTGTCAGGCCTCACAGCCTCCCCCCAGACCCCCAGGCCTGGCTCTCGGCCCCTCCTTCTGTGGCTCCTGGTCCCGTTCTGCTGCCCACCACGCCTGGGGCAGCCAGCTCTGACGCCCGGGCGTGCGCTGCGCCCTGCCTGGCTCCTGGTCCTGCGCTGCACTGCCTGCTGCACCTTGGGCGCCTTCACTGCTGCTGCTCCTGGCACTGGCTGGCAGCCGAGACCCCCGACCCTCACCGTGTGACCCGCTCCGGCCGGCTGGGCTGTGGCCTAACAGGCCCTGTGGTCATCCGGTTCTGTTCTCCTGGCCCGCGACTGCCACCCTCCGGTTCAGGCGACGTGCCCATCCTGGCAGCCGCTGCGTCTTGCTCAGGGGTCCTGAGGCACAGCTGGCCTGTCCTTGCCAGCCCTCCTTCGAGGCCGGCCCGGCGTTCCTCGCGACCCACTCACCCAAGTTGGGGCCTGTTCGTGGGGCGCCAGAGCCCCTTCCTGGCTGGCCCCGCCGATGGGCTCTTCCTGGCCTTTGCTCTGGGGCTGCTGCCTGGGTCCCTCCAGAGGGGCAGCTCCGGGGTCGCCTCAGAGGTGTGAACGTCCACCCCGCCCCTCCAGCAGACTCAACGGGATTGAAACTGGGCAGCTCGGTGACTTCCTAGAAGTCCCTTTTCTTCTGTTGTTTCTGGTGCTCAGCAGGGGCTTGGGGGTGGGAGACGTGGCAGGCCCGGGCACCTTGTGGGTTGAACCCCCATACCAGGGAGAAAGCGGGAAGGTCCGATAGCCAGCGTGCTCTCTTGCACCCCTGTGCCTGCCAGTCCCCCTGGGGCCGGGTTGGCTTCAGGGCCCATAGACCTGGGTGCTCATCTGAGCCCTCCGCCCCCAGCGTCTGCTCCCTGGTCCTCTGCCCCAGCTCTCCTCTGCAGGAAGAGGACAGAACTACCACTAGCGTCTGCCAAGACGCTAAAAGAGTGGAAGCTCAGGTCCAGGCAGGACCGGGCCTGGCCGCAGGAAACAGGTGCAGCCGCGGGCAGCGACGTGGTCTCGTGGGTGGGCTCTGGAAAGGCAACGCAAGCAATTTCATTCTTCTGGCCCCGGGGGCTTCCTCGCCTCCTGCTCCTGTGGGCGGCTTGATGACCCCTGGGAACAGATTGGAGCATGCCCCAGCACAGATGGGGGTGGCACAGGTGGAGGACACAGCAGTGAGGGCTCACAGTATGTTTGGTTCCTGGTCCGAGGCGCGAGCAGTTCCAGCCACCTGCGGTCGCAGGAGGAAGCATCTGCGCTGGGGTCCCTCCTAGCTTCCTGGGGGAGGGTGTACCTGACCGTGCACCGGAGCCCAGGCGCGCGGTTGGGCCGAGCACCAGAAGGAGAAAAGGGGCCTCGCGCCTGGCCTGGGGTGCTGGCACAGGGTCATTGGGAGGGAAGGGGGTCGAGGGCAGGGTGGGAAAGGTGCTACTGTGCTGGGGTGGGGGGCTCGTGCCCCAGCTCAGCAGGACCGCCAGGGGCGCGGTGGAACCAGGGAGCCCCGGACAGGCGCCGGCAAGGCCAGGGAAAGGCAGGATGGGGTGGGAGGTGGAGAGGAGCAGGCCAGGAGCGTCTCCCCAGATCCCAAGGCCGACGGGAGGCCTGTCCACCTGCTCTGTTGAGCTGGGACTGCTCTGCCCTGGTCCCCTGAGCTCCCCGGAGCTGCCCCTGCTCCTCCTGCCTCCCACCTGCTCTATTCACCGGGGACTGCTTTGCCCAATCCCCTGAGCTCCCCCTGCTCCTCCTGCCTCCCACCTGCTCTATTCACCTGGGATTGCTCTGCCCTGGTCCCGTGAGCTCCCCGGAGCTGCCCCTGCTCCTCCTGCCTCCCAGCTGCTGTATTCACCTGGGACTGCTCTGTCCTGGTCCCCTGAGCTCCCGGGAGCTGTCCCTGCTCCTCCAGCCTCCCACCTGCTCTATTCACCTGGGACTGCTCTGCCCTGGTCCCCTAAGCTCCTGGAGCTGCCCCCTGTTCCTCCAGCCTCCCACCTGCTC